CTCAACGGCGGCAGCGTTCTGGGGACCGTCAAGGCCAGCTCCGAGAGGCTGCTGCTGAAGCATCATTCCTTCACGACGCTTCTTGAGGAGACTATCCTCACGCTTGTTTTTCCGAATCTCGACGAGATTGTCCTCTCTCCTCCGCCTCGCCTCATCGGCATCGACCCCTGTCTTGTATATCTTCTTCCTTAACTCTGCGCGTGTGCTCGGCCTCAGCGACATCGTTTGTTAAAGTCTCTCTCTTTCTATCTTCCCTGAAACCACTTCGTCTGGATCTTCCCTTCTCTCTCGCTCTTTGGCAGAATTGAAATTGGAGAAATGGGATCGTGGAGGACGAGTCGTCTGGTGTTTTCGGGTTCGGATCCGGGTCGGTGTTTGATTGGTTGTTGGACCTATTTGGATCCTTCCTTCTGACAGAGAAGTATTGCCACGCTGTCGCAATATTTTTTGTTTAATCAGTTTTAATTGTTCCGGATTTTGTTGGATATTTTTTTATATATGCAATCAAGTTTCGAATCTTTTTTAGTTTTTTTTTGCAACAAATCATCGCTATATGTAATTATCTTGCATTAAAACAAAAACCAATTTTTTTTATCGTTGTTATACGTAATTCCAATTCTTTTACATGAATTGCTACCTTATAGCATTAGACCAAACGTAATGGGGGATCTCAGCCTTGGGGTTTAAGTATTAAAGAAAAGGAAAATAATGCAAAAGTTTTGTTGGATACGAGAAAGAAAAAAAAGAGAGAGAGATAAGAGAAAGATAGAGAGAATAAATTTTTTTCCTTTTTTATAATGCATCACACCCGAGTGTTAGACTACACGCGGGTGTCTCCTCTAAGCCAATTTTTGCAATTATTTTCTTTATTTTAATATTTACATCCACCAAAAAAGTGCACAACTGCGTTTGCCCTTAAAATCGTACTTATTTGCCCAAATCAAGAATATTCAATCATATGGCAGCGAAACACATTCTGATATTCTGTAAATTTTGCATTAAAATAAATTCAATAAATGTTTGTAAAGATATCTTTTAGCACTTCCAAAGGTTCGCAAGTTTTACTTGTGGTTGATAACCTAACTAAAATATAAGAGAATTCAAAAAACTAACCTTTAAAAAAAAGAAAGAGAAAAATAGGTTTTGTATCCCAACAACGAAATGAAAACTGAAAACTCTATTAACTGTTACGATATGATCTAATTAGAATCAGTAACTTTTCCCTTGTATGGTTCATCTTCTGAAGACACGAATCATCTCCTCCTAAACCCTTTTTTAATATTGTAATTTTCTCGTTTTTGAGGATCAGACAAGATCTTCCACGCATAATTGATGATCTCGAAAGCTGACTTGGCGGCAACAGATTTGTTTGTGTCGTGACAGAGCTTAACCATGATGGCTACTTTCCCTTAACCTTTTTGATGAAAATAAAAAGTATTTGATTATCGAATACAGTATTAAGCAAAACTAAATAGTAGTAATTTGCACGGAAACAGAAAGCATCTATAATTAAAGTAAACCTTTATATTTTAAAAACTCTTCGTAATTAAAAATTGCGTCTGATAAATAGTAAATTGTTCTACAACATCAAAAGAGTTGCTGTTTCTTCATCCAGCTACAGTCTTGTTCGGAACCATAGCAAATAATAAGAGATTGCAACACGTTCGAACTAGTTATATTCCATCAAACTTACAACTCTATAAGGGATAGAACTTTAAAATTTTCTTATAAAAGTTTATTACCCAAAAGAAAAAAAGGAGAAAAAATTTAAAAAACGATAGGGAAGTAAGACAAGCTTGTATGAAGGACAGGCGATGATGGAGGATGAAGAGTGTTTCTTTTTTCTTTGGTTTTAATGTGAAGAAGAGGATGAAGAGTTGTTTGTCGGGTTGAAAAATCTCGAACCGTGTCGGAGGAAGAGTTCCAAAAAAGGACCGATGAGCTTACGTCACCAACACAACAAGTGGCGGGAAAAAACATCAAGAACAATAACAAATTTAAAATAAGTTGTTTAATTAAGTCTTTATATATATTTGTTATCCTCGTTTAGTCGTTCTTTCACGATAATAGGGATCCTTTGGTCTGATATGTAGGAACATGACTCTTGCCCATATCTCCATTGACATAGTTGTAGCTGTGTAGTTGTTTAGTTGCTCAATGAAAGCACCATAGTTATATAACTCGTTTCATTAATGTAGAAACGAAATATATAGTTCCAATAACCAAAAAAGAAGATAAATAAAGGCAGATTGATTATATTTGTCTAAAGAAAGTTGTCTTGTGTTTCATTGCTCTAGATTGGGACCTTTTACATCAAGGAAGGCCGACACTTGTTTGCTTCTATATAGCCTCTCTCATTAATGTTCCGAATTAGGGTGGCACGAAGAGATTCTAACAGTGCACTTCAATGAACTTAATGTCATTGAAAACGGCCATTATATTGTTTCATTATAAATAAAAACCAAAATTTAACTATTCTTTTTGCTTTTTTGATAAAACAAAAATTTAACTATCGACTCTTCAATTTATCTGTCCACATGTTTTCCTTCACCATCATCAAACATTATCAATCATATCCTGTAAAAAGGAACTCGACGGGAGGAATCCATGAAGAGTGAATTGTTTGACGCAAGTCCAAGAAGAGCTTGGATGCAAGATTCCGAACGATCTAATAGTAAAAGAAGTATAGATATGGAGGTAGTGATATAGAAACAAAATTGTAGGAGTTGAAGTGGATAATGGTTGACTTGAGACCACGTGCGGAAATGTAAGAAAACACGAGCACAGTTCAAAGACAACGAAATCTGTCTGACCAAAGACATGTGCGAGTGCATGCTGTCTTGCCACGTGTTCCATCTCATTACACCACGCAAAAGTCTTTTACGTGTGTATAACCAAACGTACTTGAAAAGAAAAGATATGGATGAGAGCCTTGTTTGAAAAATCGTTAGGCGCTAGTCGGGCGCTCGGCATGGGCCTAGCGATTAATCGGAAAATCGGATTAAAATCGGGGATTAATCGGGGATTAGTTTTAGGGTTATTTTAATATTTTTAAAATATATTAATCCAATATTATAAAAATTTATGATTTTTATTACAAATTTATGATTTTTATTAAAATTTGAACACAAATTATTGTAAAACATCACAAACTCCCCATTCAAATGATTGAATAACAAAAATAAAAGGTTTTTTTATACTTGCAATCTAAAAAATAATCGGGGTATATAAGATAAGGTGGAAAATAATCGGATTAGGCGGGAAGTAATCGGATTAGGCGGAGAATAATCGGGTTACTGATTTTTTAGGGGATTAGTCATTAATCGAGGCGGATAGGGTGGGTCTAGCGATTAAGCGGGGAGTAATCGGGGCTAGGCGGGGATTTTTAGAACAGGGGATGAGAGTATTTGTTGAATTAAATTTTGTTGAAATGGGTTTTTGTTTGCTTCTCTAGTCGTCGGACCCATTGTTTCCACTACTCAACATTCGGGTCCGGTCTATTCTGCCGGTGAACCGATTGTACTTCCCTTCTCTTTTATTGATCAGTCTACGGATTCCAAAGTTAAAGTGAGGAAAAAAAAAACCTCATATAATCATCTACTCAAAATTTGTTAGGCCATTTCGTTGGTAGCCACTAGTCACTGCGTTATCCTCTAATAATGGTTTTAGGGAAGCAGACTCAAGCACAAAGTGAGTGAGATGAAAATTGTAAAAAAAACTCTTGTTTTGTTTTGGCCAGTTGATAATTATGAATTGTAATGTAAAATTTAGCGTTGTGTAAAGAGGGAGAAAGAGGGGATTCTTCAAATTTTGGCATCTCCTTGGCCACATTCACATATGAGGTTCATAATTGGAGTCACATGGTTGCATGTGATCACATTGGGTCTACCTTTTAGCCACATATGGCCAACTCCACGTTTTCTCCTTTTTTTTTTTTTTTTTTCTCTTTTTCTTTTCTTTTGTTTTGTAGCTATCGTTCGATGCAGTTATATTAGTTAATTAACAAAACATACTTATACTTATTTTTTTCTTCACATCTATTAATTCCGCTTTTCTTTACAAAACCGTATCATGTGAAACATTCATATGAAAAACAATATCAGCCGTATTAAGAAAAATAGAAAAGAACAAAAGATGCAAATGTACGTGTCGATGGATAACATTTGGATGACCTATATCAGTTGACAAATAAATATTAACCATAAATTCTGAATTATCTATAGATTCTTTAGTTTCGTCTATATTTACTTAACAATATAGGTCGAAACTATATCACATCCTCCAAGCTCGATCCAAACGACTTATGAGGATTGGTTTTGTGAAAACTATTTGGGAGAAATCTTCTTATAACTCGGAAGACACTTAGACACAATGACCCACAAACATGTTGCTCATTTAATTTGATGTATAAAAAAGGTGTGAATGCTTTAGAAAGACATATCGGGTGTTAAAAAGAAAGAGCACACGTGGGGAGTCTTAAAGAGGGAAAAAGGATGTTCCAAGAGACTCATTTCTCAATCTTTTTGTTTCCCCTTCTTTTGGTTCCATTTCTTGTGGTCCTTTTTTTTGCTCACCACTTCTTTCAATGTCATTCCTAGTGGATTTCTTCTGACAACTAACTTTTACTAACTTGTATTTATACCATAATCGTCAATTTTTCATAATGTCAATTCTCTTGAAGAGTCGTATGCTACTCCTTATTATCATAATTAATGTTGACATTCAAGTAAATTTGTTTTTGTTAATCAGTTTGAAAGATTTTGAGGGCATTTGAGCAAAAATACACTTTTGACATAAACTTCAACGTCGGAAAAAGTCTTCAAGAATCACATGGAGTCCATTGGCCCCAAAATTAAGGTGGGTGTCCTCAACACGTTACACGCACATGCTCATTTTTTGAATTGCTTCAACTTGCAAATTATTTATTTAACTTTTATTCTTCTCTTTACTTTTTTTTTTCTTTAATTTCTATGTCTAATTTGGTTTACAGGGTTAAACAATTTTTGGAATCGAGATTAGTTGGCATTTTGTTGTTGTTGTTTAGATAACTTTGATTATCTAAGGAAAACCAAAGAAAGATCAAAATGGCTACAAATAAAAAACTGATGTATACAAATAAAATACATGAATTTAATAAATTAAAATAGCGTCGACGATTAAAAAAAAAAAAAAAAAAACACTTGAGCCAAAATAAAGGGGTAAAAAGGTAAAAAAAAACAAAAGCTAATTAACAACTGACAAACTAACTGCCGCCGCCGTTAAGTTCCCGTCAACGTCGTTCGTGGTGCGGCGGCGGTTAAAAGTTCGGCAAGAGCTTCCATGGCTCGAACCTGCATCTCTAACGCCGCGATGTAATCGGTCGCTTCATCTAAAAGATTCGGTACAGAGACTTTCCGGCAACCGGGAACCAACCGGCCGAGAATCTTCAGTTTTCTCTCAACCGCCGGTAATTTAATCCGATTCGTCTCCGTCACACCTTTTCTCGATTTACAGTTTCCGGTTGACTTCTTCGCCTTTCTATGTTTCTTCAACTTCGCTCGGACGCGACTCGCTAAAATCGCTCTGCTCCACCGAGTCGTACCACGAGCCGACGCAGCCAGAACTCGATCCGCCGTCTCACGTATCTCTCTCGCCGCACCGGAGACGACTTTATCGGTCTCCGTACTGGTGGAAGACCTCTGACGAACTCGACGTAAAGCTTCGACGAGTTTAGAAGCGTAGATCTGTTGCACACGATTCGTTTTCCATCTCTTCAAGCTTTCTTCGTTGATCCGTCGTGACTCTATCTCCGCCATCTCCGATATCCTCGGTTTCTTCCGTCTCGACTCCGGAGACGATTCACTTGTGTTTTCTATGCTCGGAAACAGAGACTCCACCATTAATAAACCGATGATGATAAAGGCAAAAAAAACAATCTCTTCTTCTTCAGAATCTAAAGAGTCTCTCTCTTTCTCTGAATGTGACTATTTGGAAACAAGAGACGATGAAAGGAGAGAGACGCAGTTTATATATCTCTGCCCAATCGCCAGAGACACTTAATGCCACTTTTGCCCTTATTTACCGGTATTTGTTTTATTCTTATTTCATTATTTTGTTTTTCATTTATGTCATTCATGTGATTGTTCTTTATCTTTTTGCCATGGTATAAAGCTCCAAAATTTTGCCCTTTAATAGTCAAAATGCTGAACGATGCAAATATCTTTTCTAAGTTTATTATACACATTGTAAGAGTTACAACTTACAACTCCAAAAGTCAAAGAATATAGAAGATAGAGATATATTTGCTAGAAAAAAAAACAAATAAACAACTTAACATCGATAAAAGATTATATAAGTTGAGAAATAAAAGGTGATGGTGAATCTTATGTTTTATTATGTGGTCACGGTAGAATTCATTTGGTTTTGTTTTATTGGTCAACCATACTTTTCGATACTACTACCTATTATTCATAATTCATATTTGTGTTTCAGTTTAACTAATTTTAATTAAGACAATAAAAAATACTAACCACACAAATAACTATATATACTGCACAATTGATGTTATCAGATTCAAACTGGAGTTCATATTACTCGAAAAATATAATGAATCGTTTTATAATTTTATGTGTGTCGTTGCGACGTGTTTAAGATTGAATGTAGCATTTTTTGACATGTTTCCATGTCCGAAAAACAAAATTTTCATTACGAACGAGCTTGGTTCCGGTTTGGTTCTTCAATACCATTGTCATTCAAGAGACAACAATTTAGACGTCGCAAATTTACAATTCAACGAATCAAAGGAAATCGTATTCGCAGACAAGTTAGGAAGAAGGACAAGATGGACTTGTCTTTTGAAACACGGCTTATACATGCGATATTATTCAGAATTTATAGCATACAGAATGGCTAACGTTCGTCGATATGGTGCTTACCGTGAATGGATTGCCAGAAAAGATGGAATTTATGTTATAAGAAATCGAAATCCGCCACCAACGTTCCATCATATACATGTTATAAGTAATGTTGATGACAATGATATTATTTAATCTTTATAATAATCTACGTCATAACCTATGGTGATTGTTCTTTACCTTTTTGCCTTTGCATGAAGCTCCAAAATTATGCCCTATAATAGTCAAAATGCTGAACGATGCAAATATATTTTCTAAGTTTATACATTGTACGTGACAAATCCAAAAGTCAAAGAATATAGAAGATACATATATATTTTCGAGAAAAAAACAAACAAACAACTTAACATCGATAAAAGATTATAAAGTTGAGAAATGAATGAAGTGTGATGGTGAATCTTTTGTTTACAGTAGTTGCGGCAGAATCAACTTTTAATCAGAACGAATATGCATTTAAGAAATGATGAATACATATGGGTATGATATGGTTGTGATACACTGATACTTAACAAACAAGAAGCACAAAAACTAATCCAAGCTAAATATCAGAGAAGTATAACCATGAGATTATGAATAATGTCGGTTTAAAACAAAATTCTAAAGGTAAGCAGAGAAAGGAAAAAAAAGCACTCAGAAAATGAAATAGGCAAAAGAGAAAAGAAAATTTACAAAAAAGCATTCCATGTGACCATTTTTATTTATGGCACTGCCATATGAGAAAAAGGATCTCTTTTGTGTAACCTTTACTCATTTGTATATTTGTGGACAATTTTCCGCCAACAAATTCTCTCTTTTGCCGTTTTCCACTATTTTGTGTGATTTGTATGTTTTTAATTGATACCTCAATCTAAAGAATAATGAGTGGTCTCAAAAGGAAAAATAAAATAAAATTCAAGAGTAATGGGTAGAATGACAATGGATTAAACATCTAAATATATTTTACTTTTCTTGATCAATTTGTTTTTGGCACATTGCTGTGGAATCACAAGGGAAATGTTTGCAACCTAACAAGAAAAAATTATAAACCCACAATTAGCAATGTCGAGAAATTATGAGTTGACACTAAATAGTAAATGTGTGAGTTTATTAATACAAAAACGAAGAAGATCTTGAAGAGAATCTAAAAGGGCCCTTTTCTCTGTGATTGGCCAGAGAGGCTTGCCCCCTTAATTGAGACATCGTCTCCATGTCTCTTCCTTTTCTTAATATTTTAACCACGCTCAAATACTTCTTCTCTGACTCTCTCTATGTACCAATTTTAATAATACTCACCAAGTTTTTTAAACTGGAATTAATAATATATGTGGTCGCAAGCTTTTCTTGTGCGTGTATTTTTAGATTCTAGATATCACAAGATTCACAACGCACATATGACAAAAAAAATGTCTATATGCATCAGGCCGATTATGGAATTTCCAAGGAACAAAAACATGCTCATTCGTGAACACAATATCCAAGGAGGGGAAGTTAAAGACTAGATCTTACTCAGGAATTCATAAAACACAGCGGTCACTATCGAACAACATCACACAAAGGAAACAGCTCCTCTTGGATCGAAGTAACTTGTCTTTGCTAAGTGGTTGGGTTGTTTTTCAGTTATTACCAGGAGCCTTCTGCACCAACTGTTGGGTTTGTGAACGCCTTGAAATCCCAGAATGTCTTAAGCGAGTATGGCTCAGAGACAGTCACGCCTTCCTCTGTCATCTTTGCTATCTACAAAGTTCCCAGAGAGAACAAGTCTTGTCAATGATCTGACTCTCAATTAGATGGGAGTTAAAATATTGAAATTAAACAGACCTGAAGCTTGTTGATAGCAGATCTGTCACGGTAAAGAAGTACACGCATACATTTCTCCAGTAGTTTGACACCTTCTTCAAAACTCAGGTCCTCACGCCATTCGTCACGAAGAATAGGCCTCGCTAGGTGATTCCCAAAACCAGTGGCAACATGGTTGTCCTCAAAACTAACACCAATCATTGAGACCTAGAGAAAGAACATCATAGCATTCAATTCAAAACTTTTACGCTCACTAAGAAGTTCAACTGCGAACAAGTCTTAACAGGCATTACCATCCCAAGGTACTTCTCCCCATATTTGACACCTCCAACGACAAGAGTGTTCCACAAAGGGTTGAACTTGTTCCGGCGATTATACACAACTCGGGTCAGATAGTTAAGAACCTCTTTCGGTCCCAAGGAATTACCATCATCCCACATGTTATCATTCAGCCTGAAAACAATAAGAGTTTAAAAAATCAAGGGCCAAAGAGGGAACGCGGTTAACAAGGAAACGACAAGAAAAGAAACATTGTATCAAACACATTGTTACATGAGCTCGTCAAGATAACGCAAAATCTCTTGAAAGTCACTGATTTCCCCACTGGCACCAAGAAGAGAATGTTTACCAATAGCCTTCATTCTCTCAATATTCTTGTACCTTAAGGTGGATCCATATGAACCTGCCGATCAGCAAAAGCTTGAGGAAATGAGGTTCACTACCAAACTTGAACCCTCAGATACCTCTCACCAAAAAGATACATTTATAATGAAATGAAATAGGTACAGTGAGTAAATTGCTTTATCTACCAAGTAAGCAACAGTGAGTATCAATCAGAGAGCTGAAACTAAGGTAGAGAGCATCATACCTCCCATATCAGAAGCCATTAAAATCCCATCTTTGTACTTGATAGCCACCACTGAGGTTCCAGTAACATACGGGTACCTACCAAAATTAACTAAAAATATGAAAACCAAAACCCAATTTTTTTTCTCAGATTCAAGAACACACTATATATAAGAGAGGTTTTACAATGTTCTTTGGGAATCAGCCTCAGCGTTCTTCACTCCATTCCCGTTCTCAATCGGAATCATGAACTGCCAAGGAGAAAAACACGATTAAAGTCATAAAAATCCATGAGCAATTGGAAGATTGATCCGACTTACAGTCATCTCGAATATCTCACGATCTGCTTCTTCTTCTTGCTCCAACCAAAGTTCCTCCTTTGCTCAAGAAAGAAACAACAACAAAAGAAACGGGTCGGTTTTACCGAAAGCTATTGTGGCCCATTTGTTTAAGGTCTGGCCCGTTTCTAAATATTAGGTCAAGTCAACCATACTTTTCGACACTACCTATTGAAAATACTTATTTTAGTTAAGGCCATAAGAAAATACTAACCACACAAATAACAATATATAGTTCTGTACTATTGATGTCTTTAGATTCAAATCGAAGTTTCATATTACTAGAAAAATGAATCGTTTTATTATTTTTTTGTTTGTTGTTGCGACGTGTTTTGGATTGAATGTAGCATTAATTTGACATGTTCCCATGTCCGAGTAACGAAATTAGAATTTCGAACGAGCTTGGTCCTGGTTTGGTTCTCCAATACCATTGTCATTCAAGAGATAACAATCTAGGGGTCCAAAATTTACAATTCAAGGAACTAAAACAAATCCGTTTCGGAGACAAGTTAGGGAGAAGAACAAGGTGGACTTGTCTTTTGAAACACGGCTTATACATGCGATATTATCAAGAATTTATAGCGTACAGAATGGGCAACGTTCGTCGATGTGGTGCTATACGTCATTGGTTTGCCAGAAAAGATGGAATTTACCTTATGAGAAATATGCATCCGCCACCAACGTTCCATCATATGCATGGAATAAAACTAAGTAATGTTGATGACAATGATATTTTTTCATCTGTCAACATTCTAGATAACATATGGTTATAATTTATATATAGGAAATTAAATATGAATCCATTATATATATATATATATATATATATATATGTTATGTTTTGTATTCTATCTGATTATAATTAAATAAGTTAAGAGCAGGAGACAAAATCGTGTTCTGTTTCAGCCCAACAGTGTCGCGGGAAGCAAATCCATTTCTAGAAATATAGAAAGACAAATAAACAAACAAAGAACAATTAAGAAAAGACACCCACACACAACACAAAGACACAAATCATAATTAGAAGCTTCCATAAGATAGAGAATTAAGAGGCAAGAAACGTCCTCTTTAAGACAACTGTTCTTCCCTAGCTCCGAACTGCTCGATCATCATGTTCTTGTTCATAATGGCGTGGATCTTGGAACAGTTGCAAAGCTTGAGCAAGCATGAATTAGGTCCACCAACATTCCCAGTTGAAATAACAGGATGCTTTTTAGAGATCACCACAGAGTTGATAACATCATCTGTTGGGTGATAAATAGACAAAACCTCGAACCCTTGAAGATCACACGGCTCAACGATCGGATAAAGAAACGCTCTCGGACCATGAGCACTCCTAAGCATGAGCACAGCACCAGGAGCCATGTGTTTCTGCAGATGCTCGATCACTTTAACTTTCTCCTCCTTGTTCATTCCAACAAGAGCAGCTAGAAACACGACATCGAAGCTCCTCAAGCTCTCTGCCACGTCCATTATATCAACGGTGTGGAAGAACATGCGTTGAGAGATGTCTGGATCAGAGGAAACCAGAAGAGAAGCGAGTGAGTTCGCTGATGGGTCGATGTCAAAGTTGTGAAAGATTGTGTCTTTGAGATGGAATGAAGCAAGAACGATGGAAGTAAGAGGAAGAGGACCAGATCCAATGAAAGCCACACTCTTTGGGACAAAGCCATTTGAGTTTTGTGTGAGGAGGTCGAATTCGAGCTTTCCGAGTTTTAAATAGTTGTTGTAATAAGGGAAAATGTTTAAATGATGAAGTGGGTTGTCTTGGAATGAGGTCAAGATCGAAGAGAAATGATGTTCTAAGTGACCTTCGGCTATGCCACAGATCTTGATGAGGTTAAGTCGAATCTCTTGGACTTTGTCACACATCTTGGTGACGTCGAAGTTAGGGTTTGGTGGGATGCATGTGGAAACAAGCTGCTTGAAGAGAATGTTGACATCTTCGGATGGTTTTAGACTCTCTAGCTTTGATATCTTTTCGTAGAGATCGCATATTGTTTGCACCAATTGTTCGTCTTGGCAACCCATGTCGACACTAGCTATGAGGTTATTGGTTTTTCTCTGTTTCTTTGGAAAATAATTGTGTGTTCTCGGGTGGTGTGAACTGTTTGGGCTGGAGAGATGGATATTTATTGGCGTGGGGTGGGGATCTACATCAACTAGAAAAAGAATCTAATTATTTTAACATTCCCTTATTCAAATATATAAAACACCATGCGTTTTCTTTTCTTTTTTTGTTTAACTAAAAGAATATATCCCTTTTTAAAAACAAAAAAATAGATCCTTTATAGTTTACGTTTTGAAGTTTTATATATTTGAAGTCTAAGATATTATATAGTTTAATGTTTACAGTATTGGTTTAGTTTTTCTGATTTCTGATTTAGATTTAAGTATTTAGTTTAGGGTTTAGAGTTTATGATTTATATTTTAGAAAATTCATTCCTAATTGCTATAAAATTTACATCATTTTCAAAAATCATCCTGTTTATGACAAAGGACTTGTGTGAACATGGATTAGATCCAAAAATGTTATAAATTGGATATATTGTATTACACTAAGCAAGATGTACACTAATTGATGGATTATATGAAACGTATAATCTCCATTCTTCTGCATATAAAAAATGAGATAAGGTTTGATGCCTTATCATTTATGTACGTAGCATATGATGTAAACACATAATTATACAGAAATAAAGAGTCCATTAATATATTATTGCGCAGTTCTAAATATATAAGTATAACCAAGAGCTTTTAGAAAGAAGTTGTGCATGACTTGCAACAACACACTTTATCAAAAAAAAAAAACTTAACACAATTCAACAAAAAGTGTAAATAACTAACTTTAAAACAAAAAAAAATACATGGAGTAACTACTAGCCTATATAACAAGTTGCTTGACCAAAAACAACGTCCCTTGTCTGTTTCCAAACATCAACTTTGGAATTAAATTGTAAGACTTCCTACAAATATCAAACTGAGTTTTCAATATTTTTTTGAAAAGAATATGCGAATTCAAGAAGAAGATAATCTTCGTGGCGTGTGCCTTCCACAAAATTTCTTACGGCTCTCCTTGTTTTCTTTTGATATGCTTCATGAATTTCTCAAATTCTTCACGCAAATCATATTTCTTATCTAGAAAGTATAATCAATAAATAACTTATTATCCCAGTATAGCTTTTAGGAATTCTAGGAGAGTGGCATAAATATGGAAGACGTTGACAAAAAAACACGTATACGAGACGAATATAAAGGATTATATAAGAGGTACTTAAAGACACACACCAACTTGAAAAGATCGATATTCTTTTATGTAAATGACGAATCATATTTATTTCTTATGCAAAAAAACATATTCGGAAAAAAAGAAAAAAGAAAACATATTCGATCTATGCATTCTTGCCTCTTGTATTAACTCCACGGCCAACTTGATTAATTATATATGCCAACAAAATTCATACAACTATTTACATTTATTTTGTTTCTCTCTTTTTCAATTTCAACATTAATTTTTATAGCATATGTTTTTTTTATGTGGTTGTCAATGGATTCTATATTTATTATTTTTATAGAAATGCTAAGAATGAGATTTGTTTTTCTTATTTTTCTTTCTATATGAATTAATGATTGCGTGAAGAACTTACGAAATTTCATGAGTAAGACAAGAAAATAAGGAGAGCCATAAAAAGTGTGTGGAAGACACACGCTAAAAAAGATATTATCTTCCAGTGAAATGGACATATTCTTAATATTTCCAAAAATTGAAGTTTCAGTTTGATAATTGTACGAAAACTTACAAAAAATTGTCAATGTTAATGTTTAGAAACGGATGAAAGAAAGTATACTTGGTCAAGTAACATGTTATAGTCATGTTCACTTCACTATCAACTAGATCTATCTTCTTATTGAATTGCATTGTCCATCTCACAGTTTATTCTTCTTCTTTTTTCAAAATAAATTTATTTCCTCAGGCTACATTAACATCTATTTATTGATGTTTTTTTTTGTATTGTTAAATGTATTTATCACCACAAAATAATAATATATTTTCTCAAGATTTATAAAAAATTGTTGCTAAAGCAAAAGAGACAGGTCTGTTAATAGTAAAAAACATTTTAATCTGAGGAAAAAAAAAAAAACATTTTAATGGGCCACATGTGTGGAAAAGCCCATAAACTTTAAAACAAAACGTCGTCCCGGTTTGATTCAATTCTCCCTGTTGGTTTGTCTGGTTCGATGACTGACTCCAAAATCTAGTCCGGTTTAATCGCACAATTCAATTTTATTGAAAAGAACCTGTCATCGTTCTGAGTTTGGGTTTTCGAGCTCTAATGGCTGCACATGCGACATCGGAGCCGGCCGTGAATCTCCCGGCGACGCAATTTGAATCTCAGGTTACAGAGCCTTTTGGGGTAACTCTTTTGGTTCGGCATCTTCCTGATGGAATTCCTCATGATATCGTCTCTCGGCTCTTTTCTCAGTACGGAGCTTCTGCTGTTCGTCCTTGCTCCGGTGGAAAGTATATTTCCAGCAACCTTTTCCTTTCTATTTACTTGGAAATTCATATGAATTAGAAGGTTCTAGATTTCTGTAGAAGACATTGGACACTGAAAATTCGTAGTTAGTTTTTGTTCATAAGGCTTTTGAAGGGTATATTTCTTGTAATGTTTAGGGTACAAGGTGTGAAGAAGAGATTGAATAATGTGTAATTATCTAACTTGACAGATAATATTTGCCACAGATTGAGAAACGCTGCTTTTGTGGATTTCAAGAATGAAGCTTTTGCTTCTCAAGCACATCGTCAGTTAAATGGGTACCGGTTTCGGATTTACTCATCTTCAATTAATATGCTGGAATTAATCTTCTCAGACTCTTTTTGTTTCTTGACAATGAAGCCAATTATTGAGCTGTTTTATGGTTTGATGGTTGTGTAGGCTAAGGTTTCTTGGCAAGGTTCTACAAGTACAGAGAGCCAATAAACCTAACGAGAACAAGAAGTCTCGACAAATCGAAGAATCTGTGACCAAGGGGAATCCTTTCTCTACAGTTAGCACCAACAATGATTCAAAATCTGGGCAGATGCTTTCTGGCGAACCGATAGCTCCAAAACTCGGCATTAACTATCCATTTCCTCCTCACCTGCAGTAAGTTTTACTGCTCATACTTTTTTAAAAAATTTGTTCCATTTCTTATCACTTATTCAAAAAACATTAGGTATGTGTCTGTATGTTTATCTCCTCATCCTTCTAAAACACAATGTGACAACACAACACGATTCTTTAAACATTTTGTCGACTTCAGGTGTTTCTATGTTTGTTCGGGTTCATTTTGCAGATACGCTTACCCGCCACCCGATGCAAATATATTAGCCAACATTACTAATGCCCTTATCGCTGTCCCACCGTTATACACCCAGGTTAGCTCTACTGTCACTGTTTATGACCGGTGGATAGAGGTGTCTTTTCATTTGTAATCTGCAGAAATCAACTTTCATGGAGCGCAGAAAAAACTAGAAATGTAATTTTAGACCTTTTGATCGTAGGTGCTACATCTGATGAACAAAATGAACCTTCCACCTCCTTTTCGCCTGGCCCTGCCCACACCACCTCTACCTAAAGGAGGCCCCCAACCAACTGAGTTGGAGCATCAATCTAGTAGCGAGTCAGAGATGGAATCTGATGAGGTATGACTCGTCATGCCATTCTCTGCATTTTATGATATTACTAAAATGGCTTCATGCTAAGCTCCTGATGGTTGCTTAGATTTACATATCATAGTTGTCATCTTGCTTTGTTCTCTTCTTTTTTTTTTTTTAGTAAACTTATGTGATAATCGAGGCATAGAATTTATTCGTATTTTCTCTACTCTTTATATTCATTAGTACTGAGTACTTGGGTAAGAATTGTGATGGTATTACGTTTAGGATACAGGTACAGCAAAATCAGGAAGGAAGCGTGCTAGACATGAAACTCTTGTTGGTCCTGGTATGGACAATGAAACTGTTGGAGTGAAACCTTCGTCTTTGACCCCAAAAGAGATCCCTCGAATAAGAAAGAATAAACATGTTATGCAGGTATCCTATTATCCATACTTACCTTTCAAAGATAATATGCTGTGTAGTTGTGCTGATATTTGTAAGTCTATGCTGGTAGATCAAGATTATCCCAAAAGCTCCTCAAGACGAATATAAAGAGGAAAGTGAGAATGAAGACCCTGCAGACGAGCCCAAAGAAGAAGATTCAAATTTGAAACCCTTTGCGAGTTTAGAGGAGTTGGAGAAAGGAAGGTTACCTCCACAAGAAATTCTTTCACTCCCTATGTTCAAGGTATGGATACTAGGATTAAGTTACATAATATGTTTGTATTGAGTAGAACGTTTCTAATGAATTATGTGAGCCTAATTATCAATTCCAGCCTTTGCTTTGGGTATGCAAAATGTACTTTGGCTCTGGCTATGCATACTTGTTACCCGTGTTCAAAAAATCGCTAGGCGCTAGTCGGGCGGTGAGGGTGCGCCTAGCGCCTAGCAAGAAAATCGGGGATTACACGGGGATTAATCGGGGATTAGTTTTAGGGCTATTTAATATTTTAAAAACATATTAATCCATTATAATTAAGTAATTTATATAATATTGTTTTTAAAATTGTATTAAACACATGAAAACAAGATTTTAATTTCAAATTTATGATTTTTATACAAATTACGAACATAAGTAGGACGTTTTGAATTTTAGATGAAAAAAAAAAAAAAAAAAAAAAAAAAAAAAAATTGGGCTAGGCGGCCGCCTAGGCGGTCCAGGCGGGCAAAAAATCGGATCTCCGATTTTTCTCACCGATTTGGACAAAATCGCCGCGGTGCTCCTCCGATTAGCGCCTAGGCGACCGCCTAGGCGGCTAGGCGGCCGATTTTTAGAACATGGCTTGTTACTAGCGATTCTCTCTTTGCATGAAAAGATATTTACTGCTAGTAATGCAGCTCTTTCATGACTGTTTTCCTACTTCATGTTCTAATTCCAAATGTAGAGTGTCATCTCTGAAAAAATATTCACTGAGAGAAAATGCTTTTTTTGTTTTTATTGTGTGCAGAACTACACAGCTGGGAATCCGTCGCTTGTGCTGTATATCAAAAACCTTGCCAAAGACGTTGTTATTGATGATTTCTATTACATATTTGGTAAGAAGTAGCTCTGCAAGTCAAATCAAAATCTTTTACAATCTAGAGTCGTTAATTTACAAGTCTTTACCTGCTTACTACACCTTGCTTTTTGAGAAATCAGTTCATTGCTAAATAGTAGCATTCATGTAGGGTCGCAATTTGAAAGCATAGAAGCAGCCAAAACAAGTCTTGGTGTGAGGCTAATGCAGGTGTTGCATCTGTAACCTTAAATTTCCCTTTAATTATTATCAATCTTTTTGTTTATGACTATGATTGGATGTGTGAATCAAATAATACTACAGGAAGGAAGGATGAGAGGGCAAGCCTTTTTGACATTTCCATCAGTTGAAGTCGCACATCGTGCTCTGGTAATCATCCTTAACAACACCTTCTTGTTCTGCATAAATGCCTGAATACTGTGAAGAATAAAATATCATTGACAAGCATTCATTTTGTGCCTGAAGACAAGACAAAAGTGTGACTGATGTGTTCATTGTGATTTTGCAGAATCTTGTAAATGGTTTTGTGTTCAAAGGAAAACCAATGATAATCCAGTTTGGCAGGAATCCTGGAGCAGCCAAGCCAAACGAATGATGATGATATATATAACATTAAAGGTTTTTGAGGATTATCTGCAAATTCTTTTTGTGTATCATCATCATCATTGTGTAACTCTTGACTCGCAGATTAAAGTCAATAAAATATCGCTGCCTAATATTAACGAGCAGTTAATAATTTCTTGCTAGATTTGTGTTCAAACAATTATGTTCTTGTTTTCTTCACGTAGAACCAGCGCTCTACGCTCTTACACCATAATCAAGCATTCTTGTTCTTATTCGACTTTGGTTTCTGGTGGTAACATCTTCTCGATTCAACACCTTCATTCTCTTCTGCAAAAATATGAATCAAACCCTAGAATCATCCACCAGCTCCATTCCCACTTCACTACTTCTGGGCTTCTTCTCCTTCATCAGAAGCAAAATTCTGGGAAACTTTTGCTATTCAATGCTCTGCTTCGATGCTATTCACTTGGCGAAACGCCTCTTCGGGCTTACTTTCTCTACGACCAACTCCAACGACTCCATTTCTTGTCTGATCACAGCAAGAGACTGTTGCCTCCTTTTGATAGTTTCACTTACCTCTTTCTCCTGAAAGCGAGTTCGAATCCGCGGTTCCCATCTTTACTACTGGGAATTGGACTCCATGGGTTGACTCTAAAACTGGGTTTCGAATTTCATGTCTACGTGCAGACAGCTTTGGTTGGTATGTATCTTGTTGGTGGAAACATGATTGATGCTTACAAAGTGTTTGATGAAATGCCTGAGAGAAATCCGGTAACATGGAATGTGATGATCACTGGCCTGACTAATTTGGGAGATTTTGAAAAAGCTCTTTGCTTTTTGGAGAAGATGCTGAATCGGACGGTAGTGTCTTGGACCACTATCATTGATGGGTATGCACGAGTTAATAAACCCAAGGAAGCTACACTTCTGTTTTCAAGAATGGTTGCTTGCGATGCAATAAAGCCGAACGAGATAACCATTCTCGCCATTCTCCCAGCTGTTTGGAACTTGGGAGACCTAAAGATGTGCGGATCAGTTCATGCTTATGTTGGGAAAAGAGGGTTTGTTCCATGTGATATCCGTGTGACTAACTCTCTCATCGACGCTTATGCAAAATGTGGGTGTATTCAAAGCGCGTTCAAGTTTTTCATCGAGATTCCAAACGGAAGGAAGAATCTTGTATCGTGGACAACGATGATCTCAGCGTTTGCAATGCACGGAATGGGCAAAGAAGCGGTCAATATGTTCAAAGACATGGAAAGATTAGGATTGAAGCCCAACAGAGTAACTATGATCAGTGTTTTGAACGCTTGTAGCCATGGAGGTTTAGCAGAAGAAGAGTTTCTAAAGTTTTTCAACAAGATGGTAAACAAGTACAAGATCACACCGGATGTGAAGCACTATGGATGTCTAGTAGATATGCTGAGAAGAAAAGGAAGACTAGAAGAAGCAGAGAAAATTGCTTTGGAGATTCCAATAGATCAAAAGGCCGTGGTTTGGAGAATGCTGCTTGGAGCTTGTAATGTATATGATGATGCTGAAATGGCTGAGAGGGTTACTAGGAAGCTAATGGAATTGGAGAGAAGCCATGGAGGAGACTATGTGCTTATGTCCAACATCTTCTGTGGTAATGGAAGATTTTCAGATGCCCAGAGATTTCGGAAACTGATGGATGTTAGAGGAGTAGCTAAACTTCCAGGACATTCACAAGTAACATAGCATGTAATAATCCTTGTACTCCAATCTTCAATGTTTTGATCATAAACTCCCAAAGTTTTGGGAGCTCTGTTCTGATCAAAGTTTTGGCAGCTCTATTCTGATCTTCAATGTTTTGATCATAAACAACGACAACAGCATTAGCTAAGATTTTCGGTTTCAGTAATTGTAGATGTTGATGGTTGACTAAAGAGCGAAGAAGTTGAATTCAATGGGATGGGGTTGCTTGCAAATGAAAGTGCAAATCTAATGGGATGGAGTTGCTTGGTTTGATAAGTGCTTTCGAACATTATATATAACCAACAATACTTGACATTTAGAATTAACATAGACTTCGATCTTCAATGTTTTTGATCATAAACTCCCAAAGTTTTTTTTTCTGTTCTGAATGGGTTTCAGCTTGGATTATATAGAAAACGTGAAGCAACACGCAAACTTATTCAAGACCAATTTCAAAAGTTTGCTTCAATGGGTGTCATCATCAAATAACAATCCAAGTCAGAAGATTTTGAGTAGCTTTTACGCTAATCTTCACACGAAAAAACCATCAACGCAAAATATAAAAGTTATCGGCCCAACATATACAGATATCAATGTTCCTCGGCCCACGCTTTTAGAAATTTCTAGATTGGAAAAATCAGTTGGAATCCAACGGCTGAGATCACGTTAAATCCAACAAACCAAGTGATGTTTTTACGAAAAACTCCCGAGAGATCTGCTTCTTTTGTTTACTATACTCTCTCCACGAGAAGCACACTTCTTTTTTGTTAATATCACCGCACCAACCGCTAATATCTTTCCACGTGTTAAATCTTTGGATTAAGGTTTATTATTCCAAGCCCTTGTGTCGCCGTTTCATCCAATACCATAACGCCATGTCATACCTAATGACAAATGTATCTGACGTGTCAGTTACTGATTGGATTACGGGCTGCAGATTTACACGACGTAGCAAAAAAGGCTAAAATAAATTCCATGAGAGCAAAGCTCACTTGCAAGCTCCTCGCCGGTATATATAAACTCGAGATCTTACACTTCATCATCATCTGATCTCGGGGAAGCTCCGATCTGAGTTTTTAGCAATGGCGAAATTAGTCACTAGCATCGTCTCTCTGATTCTTATCGGTCTCGTCGCGATCGCCTCCGCGGCTGTTATCTTCGAGGAGCGCTTTGATGGTATTCACTTTCTACATCTCTATCTCTACACCTTTAGGTTCCTGGTGATGCGTTTGTTTCTGTTTAGCTCCGGATCTCTTAATTCATTTGAGTTTTAATGTGATAATGCTGCGAGTTTAAAGATCTGCTTTCGATCATGCATCGGATAGATCATTTTCAAATGTTGGACCAGGATTATTGTGGATCTTTGAATTGTTGATTTTGTTGTTTATTGGGTTTATGAATTCGAAATTATAATTGTAGATCCTAGGAAATCGTCGCCGGCTTTTGGTGAAGAATACTCTTCGTCGAGATGTTTCGGAGATCACTAGAGCAATAATTTAACTGTGATAAACGCTGAGATGGTAGTTTCAATTGAATCCATAGATGAAATCATTGTTAGTCTTAGGCATCAGGGGAATGGTCGTATCATTTGCGGTCTTAGGTAGGATCCTTTGTTCAATGAAGCACACTCATGAGTTTGTTTAGTCGATTTTTTCTCATTTGAAATAGTAAAGAATATTTACTCTTACTAATATCTAGTTTGAACGTGTCTCTTGCGTTGGATTCCCTCTTATTCTTCTGGACTTGATTTATAAAATAGTGATTCATCTTGTCTGATGTCTGTCTTGGTTTGTTACCTTTGTTGTTTCCATTTCTAAAGATGGATGGGAAAGCAGATGGGTTAAATCTGAGTGGAAGAAGGATGATAACACTGCTGGAGAGTGGAAACACACTGCGGGAAATTGGTCTGGTGACTCTAACGATAAAGGTATGATTTAGCCTTCAGAGCTAGTCATAGACTCTGTCCAAAAATTAAAAAAAGCTAGTCATAGAATCATGATTTATTGTGGCATATTCCTAGTTTTTTACTAATGCGTTGTTTGCAATTACCATTGCCTTGCAGGTATCCAGACCAGTGAGGACTACAGATTCTACGCCATTTCAGCTGAGTTCCCTGAATTCAGTAACAAGGACAAAACCTTAGTCTTCCAATTCTCAGTCAAGCACGAGCAAAAGCTTGACTGTGGTGGTGGCTACATGAAGCTGCTCAGTGGTGATGTTGACCAGAAGAAATTTGGTGGAGACACCCCATACAGGTACATTTCCTATGTCATCTCACTCTTATCATCTCAGCGTTATTGATTGACATTAATATTTTAAAATAACACCCGTCTGGTTTTACACGCAGTATCATGTTTGGTCCCGATATCTGTGGCTACAGCACAAAGAAAGTGCATGCTATCCTTACCTACAATGAAGCCAACCACCTGATCAAGAAGGATGTTCCATGTGAAACTGATCAGCTTACCCATGTGTACACCTTCATCCTCCGCCCAGATGCAACTTACAGCATTCTCATCGACAATGTTGAGAAGCAAACGGGTAGCCTTTACTCTGACTGGGATCTTCTCCCACCCAAGAAGATCAAGGACCCCAGCGCCAAGAAGGTATTCAGTAACTTATGAACAACCAGACTAAACTAAGAACCAACCACTTATACATCACTTATAGAGCGAACTAGAACCAACCAGACTAAAGCTCAGGAAAATATGAGTCTCTGATCGAATTGGTTGATTATTCCTGTGATACCATCCATCATACATATTGATCCCTTTTTTATAAACAGCCTGAGGACTGGGACGACCAAGAATACATTGCTGACCCTGAAGACAAGAAACCTGACGGATACGATGATATCCCAAAGGAGATCCCAGACACCGACGCTAAGAAGGTTCCTACCTTTTCTTTAATTGATGGAAAATCTAAAATCTCTCGCTGTGTTCCATATTTGCTGATTTTTCTTTATGTCTTTTCTCTTAGCCTGAGGACTGGGATGATGAAGAAGATGGTGAGTGGACTGCCCCAACCATCCCCAACCCTGAGTACAATGGTGAATGGAAGCCTAAGGTTTGTCAATCTCGCTCTCAAAAAGTATCTAAATCCTTGTCAACGGTTATCTTCATCTCAAGGTTATCATAAATTTCTGTAGCAAATCAAGAACCCCAACTACAAGGGCAAGTGGAAGGCTCCATTGATTGATAACCCTGGTAAATTACTACGCTCTGTGGCCATATTTTTTCATGTTGCATAACATACATGTAGTTTGTGTTTCTATTTCTGTTTGTTGTTGTTTGATGGCTTCTAGTTTGCCTAGAAATCTCTTCCAATTTAGATTTTTTTTTCTTTTGACTTAAGTAGATGGCTATCTAAGGGTTCCTATAAACTCAAATGTTTAAGAAATACCTTACTTCAAAAAGGTTGAAAGTGTTTCTGTGTTTAGTGGTTAACCTATTAAAATAGAAACCCATATCTTTTGTTCACGATGATTTACACTTTTATATCATGGTCATATGGATTTGACTGTAATACTAAACATACTGTTTTTGTTTTCTTTCAACAATTACTGTGCCTAATTTAAACTGATTCACGCAGACTTCAAGGATGACCCAGAGCTCTATGTCTTCCCCAAGCTGAAGTATGTTGGACTCGAATTGTGGCAGGTAATAGATCTTGTCACTATATGACCTCTTGTCTTCCAAGATCTGCTTTGGCCACATGACTCCTATCTAAAATAATTACCACTCTTTCAGGTGAAATCAGGATCTCTGTTTGACAATGTCTTGATCTGCGATGACCCAGACTATGCCAAGAAGTTGGCAGAGGAAACATGGGGAAAGCTCAAGGATGTATGTGTTTAGTATGCACATCTCCATTAACAAAACTCTTTGTTTCTGGTTACTGATCAGAATATCTAATCTAATATCACATTGCAGGCGGAGAAAGCAGCTTTCGATGAGGCTGAGAAGAAGAAGGAGGAAGAGGTAACACTCTTCAACCAAACATCTCTCCTAATTAGCGATCACAGTTCATGATATTCTCTAAAATAGGAAGTGAAATCCTTTTGAATCTGAGACGACATCTTTTTTTCTTCTGTCATTATACAGGAATCCAAGGACGCACCTGCGGAATCTGATGTAAGCACTTGTGATTGATCAAGATTTAAGATTCTTCTTTGCTTCTGTCAAGGTCCTAATACTGTATGTGATTTATTTTCCAGGCTGAAGAGGAACCAGAGGATGATGAAGGAGATGACTCCGATTCCGAATCTAAGACAGATGAGGAGAGCAAATCAGAAGTTAGCGAGGAAACTGCCGAGAAAGACGCCACCGCTCATGTATGTTTATAATAATGTCACTTTAAATATTTGCACTCATCCATAATCTTCTCGTTTGAACTTAGTTGGTTACATTGTATGATTTGGTTTTGCAGGATGAGCTGTAAGTGAAGGAGTTTGAAGATTGAAGACCAAAGTTTCGAGTCTTTATTGTTTTATCCTTTGTTTTGAAGTACTTTAGCATCTAGTTTGTCGGAGATAGAAACAATTTTTAGCAGAATTAAAAGAGGGATGCAATGAACGTCAGATGCTTATTTTAGACTGAAAAAAACATCATGGAGAATTTTTGCTGTTGCGTCTCTTTCTCTACTACTGGTTCTCCGTTAAGCCAAAGTCCGCCAAAAATCAGATTGTGGTGTATTACTTACTGCACCACCCTTTGAAAATTCCGTTATGTCCATTGTCATTAAATCAACGCAGACCATCAAGTCCATAAACTTTTTGACATTAACAACTAACAAAGCGGACCATATAAGTATCCTTGTAATCAAGAATCCAATCTTCAATGAGTTTTGATCATAAATTCCCAAAGTTTTGGAATCTCTCTAATGTCTTCACATCAGTTGGCTGCTGAACAGAAATTTCATATTAGCTGATTCTTTCATTGCGATTACAGTAACAAAAATGCCTTAAATCATACAAAGAGATCAAGAATCTAAAATCGTGAGACTAAATGGATCAATGAGTAACAACAAGAACATGCAAGATGGCATAAAGTTTAAACCAAAAAAAAAAAAAAAAAAAAAAAGATGGCATAAAGTTTCCTTATATGCGTTTAAATTGAAATCAGATTTTGAGTCGCTTTTACACACGAAAAAGGAAAAACCATCAACACAAATATAAATATTATCGGCCCAAAATACACACATAAATGCCTCGGCCCACGCAATTAGAGTTTAA